TAAACGTATTCTAGACAGAAGGGAAAAGAAAACTCTAAATTGATGGTACAGAAGTGGGAACTGACGAAAAGAAAGTCTGCAATCGTCTAACTGTCGGTCCCCCATACATTTCGATACTTTTGCTTCATGGAACGTATGGCGATGGGAGGATTTACGTCACATTGCCATCAATTAGGAATCTTATAGTTTATTGAAAACATTGTACACAGCTATGGGGGGGGGTTCATGAAAACGCATAGCGTGTTCTTTTCCTTTCCACAGAGTCATATTCCTTTACCTTTACTATGCAAGTACCTGTGCATAGAGTCATATTACTTTACCTGAAGTGAAAGTTAATAATCACCCAGGACTCGAGCTACACCGACTGGCACAAACTACGAACTAACATTAGCAACTAATCAAGTCACATTCTCACGTCAGGGGATGACAGCAGTTTTATGGTCAGCATACAAAGAGCAAAATGAAGCAAGCCGAGTTCAGTGGTTGGCAACGAGTTGCCATTCATCCACCACATAAACGGCCCAATGCAACAGACGCCGAGGAACACTTCGATTCTCAACGATAGAATAATGAGAGTATAGTCGTACTTTCTACCGTTCGAACGCTGATGATTTTCGGACTGAGGCTCAAAGTAGCAACGCGCTAGACTTTTGCTCAAACGTACAATGCGATCGGTAGGCTGTAGGCAGGATCATCGAACAGTGCACTGGACGATGCAGGTAAAATTCGAGCTTATAACATGTCGAAGGCCGCCATCGTGCCATCAAGATTAAACGCTAACCACTATGACACCTGCTCAAGTAAGGTTTTTCTTATTGGAATGCTCTCTCAGCTGCAAAAAGCAGTAGTTGTAGTGGTGGTCAACACACTACATGCGAAAAGCAACGACAGTCTATTATCGCTGAGGTAAATGGCTAACAGCCGATTATAAACCCGCCGGGAAGCCTGAGGAAATTTTCTGTCATGTCACCCCTACCCACCGAAGACCTACCAAAGCTGTTGGTACTGAGCTGAAAGAAACTTAAGGTGCCCTTGGCGGACAGTGTCCAGAAACAGACGGCCGTAAATAATATTTACTTCTTTTAACATGGCGCAAAGACGATTACGTCAAACGAATGGAATTCTTATCGATCCTCTGAAGAAGCGAGGTATTGTTTTTGCTGAAGAACTCCGTCGTTTGAGAATGGTTTGACAAACGGCAGCGGGGATTTTTTCCGGCCAAAAACGAGGTGAAAACCCATACGTTTCTTCAATTAGTGTCTCTGTTCTCTTTGCGATCAACAAGTCATCGCATGATAGTCGGTGAACAGCGCTGATCAACTGTCTATCTGCTATTGAGCAAGCAGCGAATTTCGGCAGCGCTTATTAGGTGCTTCCTCAGGAAGGGTCCAAATGCTTTCCCAATGCATTACAGAGGCGTCTAACCCGCATTTTTTCTCAGTTATGTAAGAGCAGAATAGGCATTACAATTTTAGTGTTGAAATACCATCAGATGGTTCACAGAGATACCAGTGCATTCTAGCATCATAGTCGTCGTATTCAATATCAGTATCATCCTAAACATGGCCTTCTTCCCTATGATTCGTCGTCAGTATAGCGTCGACAAAGAAAACAATCCTCTTTGGCAGTGGATTTTATGTTTTTGCTTCCGGTTGGCTCCCACAGGGTACAGTCCGTCTTGAAATGGCGAATGTAACTCCAAGGAAACGG